TATAAAAACAATACCATTCACAGTACCTTCAAGAAAAATGAAATATCTAGGAATTAATCTAACCAATAAAGTGAAAGACCTCTACAAAGAATACTACAGTACTCTGAAAATGGTGGCTGAAGGGGATATCAGAAAATGGGAAGATGTCCTCTGCTCCTGGATAAGCAGAACCAATACTGTCAAAATGTCCATACTTCCAAAAAATGTTATACAGATTCAATGCAGTCCCAATCAAAATACCAAGAGGATACTTTATAAAATTAGAGAAAGCAATCCTAAAATTCATATGAAACCAGAAGAGACACAGAACAGCAAAAGTAATTTTGAGCAACAAGAGCAAAGCAGGAGACCTTGCAATACCTGACTTCAAGCTATACTACAAAGCAATAGTGATAAAATGGCATGGTACTGGAACAAAAGCAGATATGTGGATCAAGGGAACAGAATAGAGGACGCAGAAAGGTTCCCAGAGACATCAGCTTGTATCACTCAGTGCTTACTACAAAAACAGATTTAATGCGAGATATACAAACATATAAGCATTTACAAGATGGGCTTACAATGGCCACCACAGACTCAGGTGTGGAAGAGTGCAATATGTCTGCCTGCATGCTGGAGATATGAAGAATCCAGTCAAAAGCCTGAAACTCTCACTATGGTATCCCCATGCAAGTCAGGAAGCTAAAAGGTCTGCACCAGAACACTGAAGAGTCTGAGCTAGAAGCCAGGAGGTGACAGTCAAAGTGAAAGTGACCCACTAGAGTGCCTCCAAAGAAACAGAAGTGAGCCTTGCTTCTTCATTTCCCTTTTACACACAACTGTACTGTTATTATCATTATAAAATTGTTAAATGCTCTATCAATTGTATTGTCTTTAATGAGTTATAAGAATTATATGAACCATCTTACTTTACAACAAAGCTCTCTTCCCTATTAATCATAACTGATAACTTATTTTAAGTGAAAAATAAAGAAAATTAAGGTAATAGTATATCAGAAAATGAGTACATTTATTTCATGCAGTTGTTATGATTTAACAATATTTCAACTTGTTAAGTTGTTTATTAAATACTAGTAATCAGACTTCACTTTATATAGGAAATGCTAACGTTTATATCTAAATGTTAGAAAAATGTGTATCTTCCCTTAATCTAAGATTAAGATTGCTTATGCCTTGCATACAGACAAATGAATAACATTAGTTTCTTTTTTTACTAATTTCTTACTGAAATTTAACATTTGCTTTAAGTATGAATATAGGGAACTAACCACAAAATGTTAGCAGTACCTATGACTTCATCACCCCCTAAAAACACATGTTCATATTACATTGTTGCAGAAATTTTGAAGTTCCAGTAACACTCACCTAGAACCAAACAATGTTACCACTGTTTTAAGAATAGCGTTAGTATCTTAGAACTTTATTTTTTTAGAGTAATTTTAGATTCATAGTAAAACTGAGAAGAAACTGTGGAGATTTAGAGTACATCCCCCCACCCTCATACACAGATGGCCTCCCTCATCAACAGCCCCTACCAGAGTAGTACATTTATCACAATGATGAACACACACCAACACACTTTAAGTCAACAGTTTACGTCAGAGTTTGCTTTTGGTATTGTACATTCTGTGCTCTGTACAAATGTACAATGTCATGTGTTCAGTATTACAGTAGTATACAGCATATTTTCACTACCCTAAAACTTCTCTGTGCTTCCCCTATTTCTCCAACTTCAACCCCTAGTAACCGCTGATCTTTTAACAATTTCCATACTTTTGACTTCAACAGTGATTTCTTATGGGGTTGCTAAATACATGTCTCTATTTTATCTTGTTTTTAAAAATTGTCTTCCTTTATGATCTAAACAAAGTTTAATATTATGTTTTCTGTACCCTAACATATATAAAATACTTCAACATGTAATCAATTTTTAAATGTACTGAGATATTTTCAATTCATTTCTTCATACCATTTTTTAATTCCAGCACATAATTTTATATTTATAGCACAACTTGCTTCAGACACAAAATCTTCATCACAAATATGATCTGTATGCTGTTTCATAACATTTACAGTTTGCTATGGTTTTAATATGGATGTTGTCCTTCCAAGTCTGTATTAAAGACTTGATCCCAAGAGTGGTGACACTGGGAAGTGCTGTGGAGCATTTGAGAGGGAGAACTAGTGAAGGGAACTTGAATCATTAGAAACATACCCTTGAAAGTAACTATGGGACCACAGGCTCTTCATTTTTCTGTCTCCTGGCTTGAGATGTGAACATGTGCTCTAACAACTGATCCTGTCATGATATACTGACCTAGCCAGAGGTCCAAAGCAACAGGCCTGTATGATTTTAGGCTTGAACCTCAAGAAACATAAACCAAAATAACCCTTTTCTCTGTATAAAGTTAGCTTCTGCAAGTATCTGGTTGTATTACCATGAAGCAAATACACAGTTTTAAAAAGCAGATACTCAACTTGTTTGAAACATACAGAAAAGTTTCCCAAAAGCAAACAAAAATGCTCCACCTTTAATTTTCACATTCACAGTAACAAAACTGTTTCATCTCATTTAGAATAGTTTGATTTTAATCAGGTATTTGATTCTGTGGTTATCAGTTCTAAAACTATGTCCAATTCAGAAACTTGTTAGCTCAATATCATTACCAACAAATCCTAACCCTAACCATGATTTAATATCAACATAGAGTTTATGTAGCACTTTTCAGAATCAATATAAAAAACGTCGATAATAATTAAATTCTCCTGCACATTGATTCATAATAAAATTTGTAGAATGATTAGCATTGAGTTATATTAGAAAAAGTTTGTTTTAACAATGTTTTGAGTCTAAGTCACAAATTTCTCTTTCTATGGACTTTAGTTTGTTCATATGGAGTGTGATATTGGCAAGAAAATAAAATCATATTGACATTTTTGTTTTAAATCACTGAATACATGGCAAATATCACATGTGTGATAGTTTAATACAAGAACTTGAAAACAATATAAAAAGAATTCCATGTACCTTTTACCCAGCTTCACACATTAATTAGATCTTACATTACCATAGTATATTATCATAACCAGGAAATGACTTACAACATTATTAACTTAGCTACAGAGAAATCACATGTGTAGTTCAAATAAACATGACCACAGTCAGGTTACAGAACCATATCATCACCACAAAGGAACTACCTCATTATTAAGCCCCAACAGTTACACTTTGACCCCCAACCTTAGTATCTTGGTTAACCCAGACTCATACTAATTACTATAAATATTGTCACTTTGAGACTGTTATATAAACAGAATCACAGACTATGTAACCATCTGGAGTTGAATTTTTATGCATGATGCATTTGAGATCAATCCAAATTTCTGCAAGTATCAATCACCCAGTTCTCTCTGTTCCTGAGTAATATTCTACTGTGTAAAAATCAGTTATATTATGCATTCAGTCAATGAAGACAGCTGGATTATTTCCAGTTTTGTTCAAATGAACCTTCTTCAATGAACATTCATTTACATGGTTTTATACCAACACAAGCTTTCATTTTCTAAGATAAATATACAACAATAGGACTACTGGGTCACATGTTAAGTATATATTTGATTTTACAAGAAAATACTAATTTATTTCCAAGTGCTATACTATTTTACATTCTCATGAGCAACATCTGAGAGGTCCAGATCCACATCCTTGCCTTCATTAGGTATAAGTAGTAATTTCTACTTCAGTTATTCTAACAGATTAAATAGTAGTATCTCATTGTAGAATTACTTTGCATTAGGCTAAATGCCTAATGACATGGAAAATGTGATCTGCTTACTGGTTATTCACACATCCTCCTGGGCATTTTCTACTTGAAATTGTTTCAAGAATGGCCAATTTGGAGAGTTATCTATATATTCTATTGCAGGCCACAAGGGATAGGTAATTTGCAAAGATTTTCTTGCAGTCTACGGTTTATCTTTTCATTTATGTAACAAAGTTCTTCACACAGCAAAAGTTTTCAGTTTTTATTAGGTTTAATTTATCAAGTTCTTCTTTTGTGGACTGTGCTTTGAGTGTCCTAGTCCAATGATGGCAAATCTTTTATTAGAGACCGAACGCCAAATGGAACCCAAAGCCTTATTTATTGCAATGTGCCAGTGTTGTCATTAAATCTGAATAATTAAGTTTTAGCTTAGAAAAAACAACTCATACAGTAAATCCTTTGTCTTAAAAGAAAAATATGATAACATACATGCCATAGGTGCACCACCACTGCTCTAACCAGTCTACTGTCTTTTCCCCAACTTTTGGAGTTTTCTGATTGGTGAATTGTTTTGTCCAGAACTTTTTGTTGTGATTAGCAAAAGTAAAATGTAATTTGTTACTCCATCTGGTCCGGAATCTAAACTAAAATGGAATGTATTTAGTCTATCTTATCCAGAACCCAAATTCTGTTACTTATTTTCAGAGTAAATATTACCATTATTTACACATCCTATCATCCTCAACTCCTCAAGTTTCTAGTAGATTTTATTAATTTTTTTCTTTACTGGGTTTCTATTACATTTTTAAATAACTGCTACTCCAGCAAAGTGGTTTATATGACACATTCTTTAAGCTTAATAGCTGTAAGAAAATGTTACTATAATTTCTTGACTTTAAGCTAACATCAAAATCTTAATACATGTTAAACAATTTTTAAGTTTTTAATTCATTCAGTAAATCCCTGCTTTATTAACACATACAGGGATAGCAATCCTAAACACAGCTAAGGTCCCTGGAGTTGTGGAATTTACATTCTAGTAACAAAGTAAGGCATATGAATAATTTTAGAAAAATCCAATCTACTGGGCTTCAGCTAATTTTAGTAGCAAACATTTAGGAAATTGAAAATATTTATAGAAATGTCAAACTACAGAATTGGTACAGGTGAGGTAATTTTTTAAAAAACTGTACAGCAGAACTTCAGTGCTCTAGAAAAGTGTGACTAACTACTTACCACGTATAGCTGTTTCCACAGACTGGCCCATTCTTGTACTGTTGCTGTAACCTCAGTCACAATAGAATCTTCAAGTGGTACCACAGTTTCATACTGCCTAGAACCAGAGCCACAACAAATAGAAACATTTTCTTTGATAAAATGTTAATATCCTTTGCTATATTTTAATGTCTTAATTCAAATCTTAAATTCATATGAATATATAGGAAAGTACATCTAATTGGTCAGATATTTTTGCAGTAATATATTGCTGTAGCACAACTGAACTTAACTAATAACATAAATAAATTGATTTTTACTATATTACTCCTAATAATACTTTTTAAAATAATGCCTTTAAAATCCATTTTTAAGCACAGTCATTAAACATTCATCTTTTCTTGCTTAATTTTTAAAGACTGTACTTTTTAATGTTTCTGTACTATAAATCATCTTATACTTTTGCTTGGTAAGACCTAGAAAGGAGGAAGCCAATGGGTTTTGAAAAGTTTTATCTGTATTCCCATATGTCAGTATTGCATTTTCTTAGACATGCATGTTAGTAAAGCAATTGTACATCTGGTAGAGGAATTCTGACTCTAGGAACAGAAACTTTCTTGGATTCCCTCAGCGAACATCATAAGAAGTACCCAGTTTGATGTCAATTCCTACGTTAGTCACTAAGGATTTATCAGTGAACAAAAATGCATAGGAAGCTCTCTTCAGAGAGGTCTTGCTCTAGACAGGGATTTACACAGACAAGTACTTGTAACAAGCCATGGACATCCCTTGATAAATCTAAGAAGGAAAGGAAAGATGCAATGAGAGATTTAAGCCTGGGACACAATTTAGGATGACAGCATCAACAAGCTGTTTTCTGAGAGTAGAATGACTAAAACAATCAACAGTCATGACATGAAAAGTGTATGGGGAAAACCAGGTATGATGTCACTATGAAAGGGAAAATATA